TCTGCAGTTGATCTACTTCAGAGAGCAACTCAATATGTGGGAAAATCGGAGATATTTTTGCCCTATGATTCAGAAATTTGACTTTTAGTATAGATCTTAAATTCCCACACATGGTAGATAACAAGAATATCTACAGGGAAGTTTTTGTGGGTTTTTTGGTAGCTTTTTTTTTTTTTTTTTTAAATAATAGCAGGACTAAATGTCTACCTGCAAGTGAATAGATTAATAAATTGTGATAGGTTCTTAAAATAGATTACTGGTCAGCAATTTAAATGAATTAATTAGAACTACATGTATTAATATAGCTAAAACTCAGAAACATATTAAGGGGAAGTAGAAGGGGATATAATCTTTTTTTTTTTTAACCACGTAGAGAAATGTGCAGAAAATACTATATATACCATTAATAGTAGATATATGCTCGTGTTGTAAAAGTATAAAAACATTCAAGAGAATGATAAACACCAAGTTCAGGTGAGTAGTTACCTTTGGCAGGGTGGGGGGTACAGAAGGGGCTTCAGTTGTACCAATACGTTTATTTCTTTAAAAAAATAATAAAGATACAGAATGATACATTACTGTTTGACAAAGCTGGCTAGTGGCAACCTGAATTTATGATTTTTTATCACTTTTTTTATGTTTGAAATATTTCCTTTAAAAACAAAACAAAACAGAAAACTTGGGAAGGGATTTCACTGGACTTAATGCTGGCTCCCCATCAAATTCAGTCTGTCCTCACTGTGATTCTTCCCTTCTGTAATTGCTAAGTTTGGCAGGTACCAGAAAGTTGTGCTCATTGAAGACCATATGTTTTTGTTTGTGTGTTTCCTCATAATGGACACTTACATTAGAGTTGCTCCACTGAGCTCCTTATAGGTCTGGGCTTGTTGCCGTAATAAAGGAAGCTTTTATTCTAGTGCTCCCTTGAATGTTCAGAATTTTTGTTTTGGGATAGTCCGTCTTCCTCACAGAGCTACCTTTTAAATCAAGGGAAATAGCAGGAAGCTTTCAGATACAAGTACCAGAATACCTGACTAAATGTGGCTTCAGTAGCACCAGTTTTTTTTTTCTCATACAAGAAGGTAGAAGTTGGCCATTGTTGCTTGAACAGCTCAGTGGTGTCAGGGCTTTGGTTTAGCTCCTCACTGATTCTCTTGGCCTTCCCCTTATGATCACAAGATGACTATAGCAGCTCCAGGTTTCAGGTCCCCACTTGACAAGCAAAGAGGTGTAGGGATTCTTTTTGTGTAACGCTTTTTATTATGGTGGGAAATCTTTCTCAGAAGCCCCTGAGAGATATTTATTTATCCAGAACTGGGACACATGCAGCATTCCTGAACCTGTCACTGCAGAGAGGTAGAATTCCATATGCTGCTCCAAGTGTGCCATAGCTCTCACCTGACAGAATCTGAGTCTTCCTGGGAGCAAGGTGGTAGGGGAATGCCTGGCGGGCTAGACAGCCATCAGTGTCTGCCAAAATGTCAACCTTAGAGTGAAAATTTGTTTTCGGAAGGTGATGGTCCACTTTGTACCCATCCAAACTAAACAACAAAGCCGGGATTCTTTGTGGTGGGAGATCATTTTTAGGGGCAGGTTCAAAGGCCCATCCATCCACACTAGTGCCTCTGCTTGAGCCTCCTTAATATTCAGGAATGCTGCTAGAGGGAAAGGTGAGATCACTGAAGTCTCCCTGAGTGGTCTAGCCCTTTCCAGATAAATACCTCCAGTATTGGTAAAACACTCTAAAAGGAAAAAAGGCATTTGTGACATTTTCCTTTTAAAAAGTAGGCAGTTGTTCAGATTATTTTTAATTAGACTGAAATTGCTAGAATTAATATTGTTGTGTACTTTGAAGTTCTAGGAAGTACTCACCTACATATGGTTGAATAATAAAGACTAATAGCTACTTTATTTCGAATTTTTACTACCAGCTAAGATGGGCTATTCAATAAAGTCTCATTCTCTGGATTAGGGCCTTTTGACATATAGGTTGAAATGATAACTCCTGTCAAATGCTTTTGAGAAAAACAGGTTCATGCCAGCGCCCTGACCGGACCAACTTACGTACACCCTGAATCAAATCTTATCCCCAGTGTCTGAGCCAAATTTCAGTCAGATGTGACCCTGACACCTCCTCCAACCTACATGCAAGAATCATGTGAGAGATAAAAATAACTGTCCGATTGCTTGTGGCAGCATTTGAGAAAGAGCTGGGAAATGAAAGTTGGAAAATTATGAAAAAGTAAAGTGATTTTAGTGAACTCTGTCTTGGGGGACCTTGCCTGTGAGGAATCTTTGTCTTTTTCAGCACTATGACTTTTAAGAACTGAAATCCTATTTCTTATTAAAGAAGAACCTTCTTTCTGCCTTCTAAGAAAACTGCTAAGTCTCAATTTTAAGAACTGGTAAATATATGAATATTTCTTTGCTTTTTACTATAGAATCATTAATAGGATCACCTTAGAATTCTCACAAATAGATCCTCCTAAGTGTGAAAGAAACATTAAGAGACAAATAAAACTGTTGTTAATTTCTACAACTTGAAGATTAATGAGAAGTGAAAATAAATGGCACTAAAATTTCAGTATACAGATGGCAACATTATTTGATTTACACTAGACTTTATAAGAATGTGCATATTTCATAAAGAAAAATGTTTTATATTTTTCCCAACTGCCTCCAACACAGAATAAATCATAGATATTGTTTGTTGAATGCAAAAATTACTATTATTAAACAAGTTTTAAATAAATTATATTGAATTGTCGTATAATATTAAGTTGATTTGTGCCCTTAAAATTTGAAGACCATTTTCTTTTCTAAACTTTTGTTTTCTTTAAGATAAAAAAATTAATTGGAGAAAAACCGATAAAGAGAACTGTTTCTCCATTTTGCAGAAAAGTGAATGATGGTCTCTATGAACCTCTGTGAATCTTTCCTCACCCCCTCCAACCCAACCCAACCTTCGCTCTCCCCAAGCCTGACAGTTCTACTCCCAGTGACAAAGGCACAGGTGACACATCTCAGGAGTTGGTCTGAGCATGTTTGGGCTGCCTGGGATCAGAGTACAGAATTGGCTTTCCAGACGAGATTGGGCTGCCAGTCTGTCCCACTTGAATAGGCAGCTTCACTAGTTAATTCATGAAGTACAATCTAGCTAGTCTTGGTGGCTCAGGATGCAGTTATTTCTAAAAGTGTAGAGAAGCAATTTAAATAAGAAAAAGTGGACATTTCCATTCAAGTAGACCAAAAGCCACATGGGGACAGGAATTGGATGGAAAAAAGAATGGGAAAAGAAACAAGCACGTTGGCAAGAGAAAGAAATAGAATTCTTTGACAGATAATTCACAAAAATTAATTTCAAAATATAGCTCACCCAGGACTCTAGGCCTTTAAATTGACCTCTATTGTTTCTGTTATTAAATATCTCTTATGAACTTTTAGAGTACTTATTATAAATTTTTCTTCATTCTGTACAAACTTATTGATCACCTACTGTATTTAGAAAGTATTTTTGCCTTAATTTTAAGTTTATTATACAAACAAGGCAGTAGTAATAGAAAACAAGTTACAGTATTCCCCAGGCATTTCCAGGGGGTCATTTTTCCCTCAGCTTTGACCCCTTCTGACCCTAGTGGAGACAGATATAAAAACAAACACTTAAAAGAAATAGCCTGGCTCAAAACCAAGGTGGACATCACCTCCATTGATCAGAAACAGAGCAGAACTGCAGAACAGCACAGAAAAACTACATAACTGGCCTTGGGTAGCTAATGGTTAGACCCCTTGGAGTAAGAGAGAGCCCAAGTGCCCAGTGGAAAGGACACTAGGAACTGAGACTTTCAGAAGACGTGGGCCTAGGAAGGGACAGGACACAGATGCAATGCACAATAAATTTTGGAGCCACACCACCCTCTTATTTAGTGGTTCTGTCTATAGTAGTCTCCATATCACCTTGGAGCAGGAGCTTAAAACTGTCACTTTAGGACCTGCCTCTGGAGAGCCTAGTGAAAGCTGCCTTATAAGTAGGCCCTTCACCAATTGGAACATGAATTTACTTCAGATTAAATGAATTTTATAACATGGCCTGATGACAAAGAAATATGTCCAGGTGTTCAAAAAGTAAGTAAAGAAATGACTTCTATTTTAAAAAGAACAAAATATGGAAACAAAGATGTACGTAATAGAAACAGGTATATATGTAAAGAACAGATAGAAATGAAAAATATCAAATAAAAAACAGACTAGAGATAGGATAACGCTAGCCTAGATACTGTTTAAAAGGAAATCAATACATTGGAATAGACCAAAAATTTCACCTAGAATGCATCAGAAAGACACAGATCTAAAAAAAAATTAAATACCAAAGGGCTAATGGGAAATACAGAATACATACACAAAGGCCTAATCACTGTGTGAGGTTCTCACTTTCCCATCACGGTGTGTCCATCACTATGTTCTGTGCATCTCTGTCCATACTTGTCCCTGGCAGAATTAACAGTTTAATGTTTTTGTTGACCTATGCTTTACTAAACTCCTGCGGGTTGCTGAGCTCTGTTCTGGGCATACTGTATACAGACATCCAACAACAATTCAGATGTGGGTCTCACTGTCCTGGATCTTTTGTTCTAGCCTACTCATCACTCTGTCTCTGGTATCTACAGTGTTATCTGGCTCAAATTAGGCATTCAGTCTTTTTATTTGTTGTGGAATAAGTTAATAAATGAGTGAAGTAATTCATGGCCTTGATTATCTGCTCTATTTGGCCAGCTTTGCAATGGAGAGAGAGACTGGGAGGAGATGAGAGGAATTCTCCCTCCCAAAGCACACCCTGCTCTTCTCAGGAAACACTGGTGTGACCGCCACCAAACTGGAGTCTGCCTGACTTGTGTCCTCTTGTTTATTATTTCTATCTTACAAACTGCTCAAGAAGATTCAGCACGAGACCAGCATTATAAACAATATCAATTTCTTTTTTTTTTTTTTTTTCCACTTTTCAGGCTGGAGTAAAGGGGACATTGGGAAGATTAGTCGGGATTTTTGAGGTAAGTCTGTTAAAATCTTTGGTGCGTTTGCAATCAATAACCAGATACATTTTTGTCTTAGTCCATTCAGGTTACTATAACAGAATACCACAAACTAGGAGACTTATAAATAATAGAAATTGTTTTCTCATGCTTCTGGAGGCTTGGAAGTCCAAGATCGAGGTGCCAGCAGATTCAGTGTCTGGTGGAATACCCGCTTCCTGGTTCATAGATAGCTGTTTCTGTCTGTGTTCTCTGATGGTGGCAGAGGGAAGGTTGCTCTCTAGGTCTGTTATAGGGAACTGATCCCATTCATGGAGATCAGCCCTCATCCCAAAGGCCCCACCTTGGGATTAGGGCACCATCACATTGGGGATTAGGGTAGCAACGTGTGAATTTTGGGGAGGACATAAATACTCAGTCCATTGCAGTCTTAATCTAGGAAAGATGCCGTCTTTGTTTCACCAAGTTTTCAAAAACAAAGCAGCACCAGCAGAGAAAAGCTTGCTTTCTTTTTAAAATCGCATAGTTTCCTCCAAATAGAATATTATTCATAAGTATTATTTATCCCATCCCTACCTTTCTTCCTTGTCTCCTAAGATGTAAGAAAAGGGTACATAAGTGTAGAGAAGAGCAAAAATAGAAGATAAGTAGCTAATGTGAAGGAGAGAGAAACAAGGAAATACACTGGGGTGGAGATTTGGAGGAAGGGTGAAAGAAGTGAGAAATTAGGGAATAAAGATGAGTGAGATTGGTAGGTAAAGGGGAGATGTGAGAGGTAATCAGCTTGCTTGCACTGATGATGCCCATCCACTGCTCTTTCTCCTTCTGGTGTCTCAGCTAGTTAAATTTACCTGGTGCCTTTTTCTTGAGAGGTCATGAACTTCCTTCTTACAGCATTCCCATGAAGTTGCTCTTAGGGGAAGGGGAAGGGACAAGAGAGTAAAGCTTTGCTTTTAGAAATGCAGCCAAAGAGCACACCCTCAAATGTAAATGTGGCATGTTTTAAATAGGCCGTCTGGTACTATTTCATGTTTGTTTGATTGTAGGACAATAAAAAGTAAAAGGAATCCTTGTGTCTAAGCTCCCTAGACATATGTATAAGGGTGTACCTCATTTAAGTAATCTCAGCTCTGTAAAGAAAAACTCTTCCTCTGTCCTTCTGTCTTTGCCCACAGAACCAGGAAAGGAAGCACAGAACATATGTCTATGTGCTCATTGTCACGGAAGTGCTGGAAGACTGGGAAGATTCAGTTAACATTGGTAAGTCATCCCAGACAGCCTCCAGAGAGCTCCCCATAACCAGCCCTTACCCCACCACAGGTTATTACTTAGAACCAGAAACAAGAGCCTGATAAGAAAAGAAATAATAGGATATGTTTAATAAAATAAGCATGTCCATTTTTGAACTTATGAAAGTTAGTATTTTGAAATATTTAAAAGGAAGCTGAAGTTGGGTGCATGGTCAACAAATAAAAACATGGCCCATAAAAATAAGAAATGTCTCTAAAGTCAGACTGGATTCTCCTCAGCAGATGCTGATCAAGGGCCTCAACAGTGCAAGGCCCACTGCTGGCCCTGAAACCCCAGGTAAGAGCAGAACCTTGGTGGATCTGGTGATGCTTACTCTTATTGTTAGAGAAAACTGTTGGTTTGATGGTATAAGCCCCTCTCCAGAGTCATTTAGTAGATGCAGAGTAGGGGGAGTAGTTCCCAGTTCTAACCATATTACTCTTCAGGGGCTCCTAGCTTTTACTATTTTCCTTGATCTCGTAGATCACTGTTGGGTTTATATCTTTTGAACTAAAAATTGAAGAGATTTAATGGTTGGTTCATGCATTAATTTTTTACCTCTAAAGGAAAATATATTCTAGGAAAGTGTAATATTAATTTAACTTCTGTTATAAATTGAAACAAACAGAAATCACTTGCCAAAACCTCTCTCTTTATTGTTGGTATGTGCTTTCACCTCATACCCCTCACACTGCTGATCTGGGCATTTCATAGCCCTTCAGCATTTAATGGCTTTGTATCTGGTAAGAATGCAATATGCTTAAATAAGTAAATTCAGTAAGGATTTATTAAAAATAGACTGCTTGACAGCTGGTGCTGAGGTCTGAAAAGGAGACAGAGGTAAGTGTGGTGTGGCCCTATCCTCAGAGCACTCCGTCACGCAGGAATCACACACTGGTGGTATGATTTTTTAAGATCTCACTGCTCCATTAGTATCCAAAAAGCCTTTCACCTTGTACTCTCATTTCTGAGAATTGATCCTAATGAAATAATCTAAAATATGAGGAATAAGCCTGAGCCTTCCTTCAGATGAGCCTTTTTCAGATGAAAAATTGGGTCTTAAATGTACAACTCAGGTACAGATGAATAAGTACATTCATCTGATGGAATGTTATGCAGCTGTTAAACACATACTTTGAAAGATATATACCATAGGAAAGTGCTTATGAAACAGTGTTGATGAATGAAAAAAGCAGGGTATAGAATTACACTAGTTGAAGCTACGTTAACATAGGAATATGAAATTTAACAAAGATGTGATATTGGTTTTCTAAAGAATTGGCGATGACCAAGAAAAGGTAACATTTCTAGCAGGGGTGTGGTGAGACCAACGTTTTTACACACCCAAGCAGGATTAGGGATTGGTATAGCCTTCTTGGAAAGCCATTTGGCACTATATATTGTGAGTCCCCTAACGTTCAACTGTTTCATCTACAGCCATACTACCCTGACCAAGCCCGATCCCATCTGATCTCGGAAGCTAAGCAAGGTCGGGCCTGGTTAGTACTTGGATGGGAGACCAACTAGGAAGACCAGGTGTAAAAAATAAAAAATGAAGGATTGTAAGATGACAAGGTCCTTGCAGTCTGTGAGGTCAACCAAGGATTGCCTTGCCTAAAAAATAAAAAAATAAAATAAAGTTCAACTGTTTCATTCTTATACTCTCAATTCTAGGGATCTTTCTCTGGGAGGTTAAAAAAGAGAAAGAGAAAACAGATTTTTTACATTGTAGCATTATTTATAATAACTAAAATTGCAGGATATTGATGTTTAATGATAGGGAAATGATTAAATGAATGATAGTATGTCTGTGCTAGATGTTATGATGTAATGCACAGCCATTAAGTGTTATATTTTTATATAACATAGAAGAATGCTTAAGAAATAGTGTAAAGTAAAAAAGAAACTAACAATAATAGTAATAATAAAAAGCAAACTCTTATAGCACATACTGTAGCCAGGTATTGGTCAAATACTTTACATATTAATCCTCACAATAGACTTTTGAGATAAGTACTATTTATTATCTCTGTAGATCAGGAAAATGGGACACAGAGAGGTTCAGTAACTTGCCCAAAGCTGCACAGCTCATTAGAGCCAGTGATGTGTTTGGAGCCCAGCATATTAGCTTCAGTATCTATGTTCCTAACCACAACACTCTATCAGAGCATTTCAGGATTTGGAGCACCTTAAAGCATGATCCCAGATGCAGTTGTTCAAATAGTGTCTTTTTCAATATGATGAAAGAAAAGCAAACACACTAAGGTATTGAGAGTTGTCATTTCTGATTTATTAAATTACGAGTAATTATATTCTCTATACTTTCCTTTGTTTTCCCAATTTTAAACAACGATCTTTCATTATAAGAGAAAAAATGATAAAGGATTTTAGAATATGCATTAAGAGGAGGACCACATATGAGATGGATTGAATCCATAAATGATACCGTGGGTGTGAGTCGATAAGAGCTGAGCAGAGCTGTTGAGGGCAGGACAGTGTGGACATCACTCATTCATGGGGTCACCAGGAGTCAGAGCCGATTCAGTGGCACCTGATACACACATTTTAAAACAGAAATAGACTTAAAAGTTAATAGTGATTGTGTTGAGATTATTTTTCCTCTTTGTAAAGTATTTTCTGTTCTATAGCTATATCACTCATAAATTTTTTAAAATAAATAACTGATTACAAATCAGCCATCCAGGTAATTCTGGGAGCTTGATGTTCATGTTGATTTTTGCAGGAGATAGGGACACTGGCTGGACGTTAGGCACTTACATGCAAGCCCAGAAAGGCCCAGAGGCCCAGGAGCGCAAGAGGCAACCACCAGCAGTGGTTCTCTCTGGAGGGTGAATTTAATAGTTACTGTTCGCGCTTGAATTTTCAGATTTCTTACGTATATTTTGCATTAGGCATTTGTACAGTATTTGAAGCTTATAAAGTGTGCTTGCATTACTCTTAGAAGAAGAAAAAATAAGGAAAATATGTTTATAACACATATTTTTAAAATATTAAAAATCATTACTTTCATGTTTTCTTCTACATTTTCTCAAAAGTTTTAAGGTTAGAAACCTTTTGTTGCTTCCCCTTTGTACTGATTTCTTTTTCTCTCTGCCTCCACAGGAAGGAAGAGGGAGTGGTTTAAAATAGAAGATGCCATAAAAGTGCTGCAGTATCACAAACCGGTGCAGGCGTCGTATTTTGAAACATTGAGGCAAGGCTACTCAGCCAACAATGGCACCCCGGTCGTGACCACCACATACTCAGTTTCTGCTCAGAGCTCTATGCCAGGCATCAGATGACTGAAGACTTCCTGTAAGAGAAATGGAAATTGGAAATTAGACTGAAGTGCAGATCTTCCCTCTCACTCTTGCTCTTTTCACCTCTCTTCACAGGCCTCCTCTTTCAAATAAGGCATGACGGGCAGCAGAGGAAGGGTTTATTGATAATGTTCCTGTTTGGTGTTAAGTGATGGGGCTTTTTCTTCTCGTTTTTTTTTGAGGGGGGTGGGGGTTGGGTATGTAATTTGTAAGTACTTTTGTGCATGATCTGTCCCTCCCTTTTCATACCTCTACAATTCTCTAAAAAGAGGCAGACAGCCTTCCCTTTGCCTTGGATTCTGAAGTATTCCTCTTTGTCTCATCCCATCCCTGGCCAGACATTTTTCTTTGATTTTTAATTTTTTTAAATTAAAAGCTACCAATATGAGATAAAAACTTTCAAGAATTTGTTCTGTAATGTGCTGTTCAGTCCAGTAGGTTGGTCAGTTTCACTGCAGAATACATTTATCTACACATTATATACTGGGCATATAATATGTAAATAAATGACTTTTAGAAGAAAAATTTAACAGTTTAAATTTTTTTCAAGGTTTTGTTTTGTTTTTTAAATTTGGGGTGTTTCTGAAATGGAGAGCCTCACAATTTACTTTTTAATTTTTCCTGCTAGTGTCTAGATAAGTCTTCCTGTCCTTTCTCTTTTCCCCAGTCATTGATGTAGTTATGTAAGGTAAGGGAAGAGTTTAGCTACCTTCCTAGTGCTCCCAGGACTCATAGCCTTCTCTTCGCAAGCTGTGTTTCCATGCCAAGAAAGAAACAGGAAGAAACCTATTTGCTTTTTTATTACCAAGCCAGGAGCAAATGGCCTCAGCTCAGATTTGGAGAAACAGTGATAGCAATTGAATTCCTCCCTTGTATGTTGACAATAGGGATTTGAACTGGATTCTTGGGATTACTATCTAAAAAACTGGAGCATCAAGCACTGTTTCTATCCTGCTAGTTTGGAATTTTTTCCATAATGCTACTTACTACCGACAACAGCCTCTCTCCTGTGCATACATGCCTTACAGTGTGCCGAACTAGATATTGTCCTTGTGCTCTGAAGCATCCAGGTGCATCTGTACAGTCCTGTCCCCATCCTGGGTAACCTTGTTAAGTTCCTGAAAAGTACACAGGAGGAAAGTTCAGGTGTTTGCTGATCTTCGTAATGTTATATAGCTCTTGTAATTGCACCATGGAGCATGCTCAGAAATACTGAATTTGTCTCCCACTGGGATGTGAAAGGTCCATCTTCTGCTGAGAAGTGATATGGGAGAAGCTTAATCATTTACTAGAACAGCTACATAATGCATTAGCTCACTGCAAACTGTCTTGTTGGTTTTTAGTACAGGTTTCATGTTGGTTTCATTTGCCAATTGAGTTGTTTAGTTGAGAAGTAAGTAGAAAAGGGTCTTGAGATCTGGGGCTGTGACTGGGAGTGGAGGAGACACTGATCATTCCCTGGCTTGGGACAGGAGTTTGTTGCTGTACTCTTAGTGGCATCTCCTTTGTCAAAACATAGCCAAGATGTGAAATTAGAATCGTAGTTCTCCTTATTTAAAAATTCTAATAAATACTCAAATTTTGAAAAGCTTTTGCTCTTCCCTCCCACTAAAAGAAATGTATATATCTGGTAGGGCTTTGTCATTTAGTGTTCAACATTTTGGTGGACATCACTTGGTAAATTTAAATTTTCTTATCTATTCTTGGTTTGTGTCTTGTCTCCCACTCGTAAAACACAGAGCCAGAACAAGTGCTGGCAGTTTCCTTAGGATACCATTCTGTCTCTGGGAAAGGAATTCTAGCCCCAAGTAATGGTCCCAGTGGATAGAAACAGCACCATGGGATTTGAGTCGAAATCCAACTCACTGTTCACATGTCCTACTTAAAAATGAACATACTGCTGCTTGTTGCCTGTTTAGAGCATTCTAAGGTTCCATTTAAATATATAAAGAAGATAAGTTCTAAGCACTAAGTGGAATCCAAAAAAGCACATTCTTCCAAATAAATTCTGCCTTTATGATACGGATTGAAAGTGCTTTGCAGGAAAACAGTACTCCTGACACGGGAACTGCAGTGTTAATAGTAATTTGTGCACTTTTTAATGATCTGAAGATGTTTTTACTGGGCTGGTGTAACAATATACTACCCTACAAAGTCCAGTTTGGATTGTTGTTGGCATCTTTGAGTCAGGAAAGTGAATGATGCCAAGAAGTATTTTTTAGTGACATGAACGGATCCTATTAATACAGTTAACTGGAAAGATTATGCCGATGCTTTCTTGACTGACAAAAAGAGGCTTTGTTCAATACCAGAATTGTTGAAACTGGTGATCTTTTCTGTTAAAATGGGATTCTGATGAACAGGAATTGATGTTTTTCCCTTCTTGTCACCATAAATACCTTGGCTACCTTTCCAGATCGATAGTCACAGCCCTTCTGTGACAGATTACTTAAACCCATAGTTGCAGTAAACTTTATATCTCCCCAAAGAAAACAAGGAGAAATGAAAGCACAGAAATTACCCTACTTTCAAAATATTTCATTGACACTGATTTACCATTAATTCTGCAAGTATTTATTCAGGCTTGACAGAAACAGGTTCCTGCGTTCAGGGAAGAAAGAAAGTCTCTCACAGTGAATTTGCACATCTCAGATTCTGGTTATTATTGGAGCATCTATCAAAGTCCACCATCCTCAGGGCAGAGAAAGATAGCAACAGATTTTTTAAAATTAAAATTTCTATGTAGTTTATAAATTATAGCCATTGGGGAAACACCAGTGAGTTCATGTCATCTTTTTGGACCAGGACTTTTTCTGTGTGGGGGAGTGGGGAGGAGAGGAGAGAAGAGAAGACAGATAGAGTCTGCCCTCAGGAGTTAGTCATTTTAGATTTTTTTGTAGCCCTCCAGAACAGTGCAGCCCATGAAACAGGAGTCTTGATTTTTCTTGTAGCAAACATAACAGGATGGAAACGTTTAATGAATTGACTGTGTTTTGTTCTTATAAGTATCTGTGGCCCCATCTGCCCTGCATGGAGAGGGCTGTCTCACAGAGAGGCCATCTGGAGGGATCAAAGAGTACGAAGGTATTACCCACTGTGAGGCCATGGAAAGCCAAGAAGGTGGCCTCCTGCAGGATTTCTACCTTCTGCAATGCGGCGTTGAGTGCTATGGAGCAGTGAGGCACTTATGGCCTTACTTCTCATAAGGCCCCTGGGGACAGAGTGTGTCACTGCCCTCTGGGCGTGTTTCACAGCAGTTTTGTAGTCATATTGCTACATGGCAAAAAATATTTTCTATTTCGATGTTAAGAGTCGTAAAGTCTCCTAGACTTGCTTAGAAGAAAGAAGTCACCTTTTGTTTTTAAAAGAAAAAAGTTCCATGCAGAACCATTCTTCCTCTTTCTCTTTTCCTTTCTTTTCTCCCTGTACATGCTCATTAGAGGCACCTTCTAAACCTCTTTAACCAGAAGATTAATCAGTCTTCTGGGTGCATTTCACATGTTGTACTTTACATATTTGTCATTTCCATCGCGTGTTGTATTAATGCCTTCGTTGGTCTCCCTACCTGATCTTTTTTCACAGCAGCTTAGCCCAAGCCACATTTTTGTAGTTCACAAAAAGGATTTAATAACCACAATGTGATTTTTGCCACAGCTCTGATTTTTTAATATTTCCGAAATGTTTTGTAAACCTATCCGAGTTGAGAGTAGATTTAGAATTAGAAGAAATGCCTGGAGAAATCACCACAGTGGCATGAATTTTTGCTTTAAGAGAAATGAAGTTTAGCTTTATTGACACTATACCTTCATCCTAGTCCCATCTGCATTTCAGAAAATAATCCACATTTTTATTTTTTAAAAAATGAGGACACACACTAGACAGTTAATTCATGCAGTTCTGGGGCAAGGAAATTATTTCATAGTGATTGAATAGTGCAGACGGCTCTTCTGGTTCTTATTCTTGAAGATAAAGAGGGCAAACAAGGTTCTGCAGTTCACGCCTCTCAGTTGAGGTGGCAGTCATTTCCTCAGAGCCCCACTGGGATAGGACCTCTTCCTCAAAGGGTGGGAAGGCTTCCAAGCAGTGCCGCTGTTCATCTTCGTGGCCTCAGCCTTGCTCTATCAGGGCACTCACCTCAATCGGAGTAGATGGCAAAGCACCCCAGAGTCAGTCTCTCTGCTCTAGGGTGAGCCTTGCAACAGACCTCTCACCATCCAGAAGAGCTGTGTTTTTTTCCATGCCATTTAGATGTCACCTAGAGCAGTGAGACATTTAAGATTTTTAGGTAAATGGTAAATTGGGAAGCATTGACTAAAATCCCTAAAAGATACTGTTGGCCTTAACGTCAGGTTGACTTGAAATCACACAGGTCCTAGGGTCTTGGAGATTTTAGGCAGACACTCTTTTAGAATCCAGTAGCCTTCCACTCCTACAAGGGCAGTTTCACATTTTGACCATGTTCTTGCATTAGCTCATAACCTTTCAGGGATGTGAGAACGCTAATCAGGACATCTGAGAAAATGATACCCCTCACCTTCAGATTAATCAAATAATGTGTCCTCTTAAGTCCCCTTAAAATTTAATAAATAAAAAGAGAATCGCATTTGTTGATTTGGACAGATTCCTTGAGTTGAGGTTAGCAGTCACATGATTTTAGAGAGCCTTGCATTATGAAGCTTTCTAAGTAAAAAAGGCATGTTTCTCTCATAAAACTTTGTAGTGATAATTTGGCGACCTTGAGCTTGTCTTAGAAAATGAGACTGTCCACGCAAGTCGTGCTCAAAGGGAAGCCATACAAACTTAATTCAGCACACCAAGAGGGACTCTGCTAAAGAAGGAAGTGCTTTTGGCTAAAAAAAGTAAGATTGATATCTAAAAGGCGGAGGGTCATTGCTTCTGTGCCTCCAGCAGTCAGTTGTTTAATGAATTACTCTATGTTTCCTTTGGTTTACATTCCTAGTTCTTAACCCCGCACAGGGGCCACTAGAACACCAAAAAAGGCATTTAAAACCCTGGAGATAGGCTTTAAAAGATACAAAAACTGCAGCATTGTCATTTTCCAGGTTCATCACCATTTTGATGTGCTACCCATTCTTCTACCACCATTTCAGCCAGGCCAGATGTGAAATTTTTATTAACCATTGACTTGGGAAACATAAATTCTGCTTCTGGAACGGTTACCTACTAAATTGCTTACCATCTGCGGGTTGTGCCTTTCAGAGAACATCTCAACAGTACAGTAAAATCACTCTTCTAGGCTTGAGGTCCCCATCAGGCATTTAGATCAAAATTCTGAGTCTTTGGAACTCCTTAGGAAAAAAGCAAGATGCCTCCTTCCCGATACTGGTCCTTGAGACTGTATTCCCCTCTCTGTAGTATGGGATGCAGTGGCCCACCTTCAGGAAATCATTTTTCCTATGGGATTTCCTATAAATCCCTACAGAAGTCATACTGATAGGAGCTGGTCTTTCTGAGCATTTTTGTGCTGAATTGAAATGTTAACCTAAAGCAGCAGCAGTTCCACGTAGCCTCTTTTACC